ACAATTTAATTAATTTTACATTTTTCTTTTAAAAAAAATATTAATTCCAATGATCATTCCAATTTCCATCAACGTATTACTATTTACCGTCTCCCTATTAGTCGTCATTTTGGACAATTTTGTCCTTTTTATTTGTTCTAAAATCTCAGAATAGCGAAATGTCTTCCAGCTCCGAGGTATTTTTTTCCGTCGTCCAACCGCTGAAACCGGACAAAACCGGTCGTGTCCAACCGTCGGAAACGGACGGCCTTAATGACGTCTGTCCGGTCCAGCCGCACGTGACCGCACATGTCCGGTTTTTTGGGTCATACGGACCGGGCGGCCGTACGACCGTGAGGTGTCCGGCCGCGACGACCGGACTTGACCCGGTCGGTCCGGTCCGACCGACCGGACACGAATATTTTTTTTAGTTTTAAATAATATTATTATAAATTATTATGTTATAGATTCGAAATAATTATGTTATAAATTGGACGTTAGATATTATCATGTTAGGAGTTAGAAATTAATTAGATTTGTTTATCTAGAATTGGACGTTAGATATTATCGCGTTAGGAATTAGAAATTATTATGTTGTACAATCGAAATAATTATGTTATAAACTGAACGTTAAATATTATCGCGTTAGGAATTAGAAATTATTATGTTATATATTCGAAATAATTATGTTATAAATTGGACGTAGATATTATCGTGTTAGGAGTTAGAAATTAATTAGACTTGTTTATCTATAAATTGGACGTTAGATATTATCGCGTTAGGAATTAGAAATTATTATGTTGTACAATCGAAATAATTATGTTATAAATTGGACGTTAGATATTAACGTGTTAAGAGTTAGAAATTATTATGTTATAGATTATAATTTAACATGTTTTGAAATTATAAATATTGTAATATATTGCAGGTGTCATTGGAAGATTTTGGATGAGATGGTATTTATTACAGTTCCGCTTTCAATACAATTATATTCTTTATTAGTGATGAGGCCGCGATTGATGATACAAAAAGTACAGCACTTCTGGCAGGTTTCGATTTGATTATTTCGAAACACACAACAGGAGGAAGGTACGTTGCTTCTAGACGTACAGAAACGAAAGCGTGCCAATGCCCTTTTGAGATAAAAGTAAAGCGGGTGCCTGGAACGACATACTGGATGATCCACACGTGTCAAGACAAAACGAAGGGCTTCCACAATCATTCATTTGTTGTGTATCCCAAGGGCCATCGACAGTTTAGCGGTATCAGCCAGTCATCAAAAAATATTATTCGTGATATGACTACTGCGCAGGCGAAATCAACAAATATTTTGGCCGTTGTCCAGGAAAAAAATATGGGAGATCACGCTACTGTGCTACATATATATAACTATAGAGACAGGTTGCGCAAGGAAAGTTTTGAGGGTAGAGACGGTACTACCCAGCTTCTACATTTGGCTAGGAGCAGCAGCTATATAGTTTATACAAATGTCGATCCGGACAAAAATGCGTTGACACACATATTCATGGCCCATCCTGATTCAGTCAGACTATTCTGGACATATTACTTGTATGTCAGCATAGATTCTACCTACAAAACCAACAGGTGTGTTAATTTATAAATACATTATTACTATGAATTTAATTAATATGTTCGATTAAACTTTATGTGATTATATTTTTGTCTTTTGGTATCATTTGTACAGGTACAAGATGCCTTTGGTCGAGATGATTAGCATGACTCCGTGCAATAATAACTGCATGATTGCGTACGCACTCATGAAGGACGAGAAAGAGGTCAGTTATGATTGGGTTCTCCATAAGCTGAGACTTCTGATAGGCTCTAAGGTAAGGATTAAATATTTATTTAATTAGTATAAAAAGTATTTTGTGCAATATAGCAAAAACATTTCAGCAATTTTTGCCCTGTCTCATTAATATTTCTGTATCCCTCGCTGCTCAGGTACATCCTAATGTGGTTGTCACTGACAGAGAGTTGGGCTTAATGACTCCTATTAGGAGGAACTTTCCCCAGTCTGCCCACTTACTCTGCACGTGGCACATCAACAAGGATGTGGAAGACAGAGTCTACATGCTGCTTGGCAAAAATAAAAAATTAGCTCAGAGTTTCTTGCGCGGTAGGTGGAAGGCGATTGCCGATGCCAGTACGGTTGATGAGTACGACAATGCCGTAGCTCAATTGCGTGCAAAATATCGGAATGCCCCACAAGTGTTACAATATGTCGAGCAGACATGGTTAGTCCACAAGGAGAAGTTTGTGAAAGCTTGGACTAACCGGGTAACACATTTTGGCAACACAACTTCCTGTAGGGTGGAGAGTGCACACTCTATGTTGAAGCAGTGGCTTCACACGTCGATCGGCGCGCTGATACAGTGCGGCAGAAGATTGGTGCGGAGATCAAATCCCAGTTGACTGAAATAAGGTACATTCCTTATTTTTAACTGTGTTATTTCGCTTCACATATATTAGAATTCTGGGTATTTTCTTTTAGTATCGATTTATTACTTATAAAATAAACTAGTTGGCCTTCCGGCTGTGCACGCACAGCCGGCTCTAGTCCAGTGTATAATTATAACTAATATTTAGGAAAATTTAAAAATACACACACCTTTTATGAATACTGATAATATGTGGTCTAACGTTGCATTGTGTTGCAACTGTTATGTTGTTGAACCAACCTATGTTGATGTGAAAATGTGTACAATTGTGGTAACTTGTGAAATAGATGGCTATTATAACATTATTCACCATTGACAATTGTTACGAAGAAAATAACATATAATTGCTCAAAATAAGTCTACAATTTTTGCTCCGAAATAAATCCAAAAAGCTTATCATCTGCATAATAGTCTGACATATGAGATCCCTACACACTAAAATGCTGAGATTGGATAAAGTACGCCAAAAGAGTTCCTCTGTCTGGTCCAAGATCAACCAAATTATGTTTTTCCGGTTGTCCCATCTGCTCCTACAGGTACATTTCATCAATTCGACTTAAAAATGAACTTGCATGTTGCATAAAACTGAGGAAATAAAATTACAAGGAGCAACTCAGCTGAAACTCAAAAGTATATTTCTCATGTATATTTGTTATTTGTTAGTTTCAAAAGAGTTATATATTTAGCCTTAATGTATGGTTAATTTCAGGTGCTGAAACCACAAATGTGACTTAATTATAAAATCATCAATAATCATACCTCACTGAAATAACCAGCCAGTTGAGTACCATGGGGACTCTCAAACACCAAAAAGTAGAAGAAAAGATTCATCAAATGTAAACAAAGAGAAAATGTAAGAGCATGATTGGATGCAGATTCAATCCAATTTTTTTTTTTTTTTTCATTTTTAACTCAATCACTTTTTTTAACTCAACTTTAACCCAACCCACTATCATCAATATTATCAATATAGTTAAATAATATCAATCAATCATTCTTACACACAACATCAATCTTAATTCACCATCATTTACTCACATAAATTTAACTAACTATCACATCACATCTTCTCTCTCTTACTTTTACATCAATTTAATTTTAATCATTTTATTTTAAATATTATTTTATTATATCCACTAACAACTAATCATACATACTTTTTCAAATTTAACCAACCCAAATCAAAAATCCAATCAAAACAAAAACAAATTTATATCCAAGCATGCTCTAAGAAGTTCAAAATACCAAATTCAAAAATTTTGAAAAAATCACACAATTGCATACCTCATTACCCTCTACCAGAGCTTTGAGTATAACATCAACTTCACAAGTAAAAATCTCACAAGAAAGGCCAGACAGATACTTTATCCTGGTACTTTGGAGCCCGCCGATTGTGGGTGACTCAAAGTGAACATAGACTGAAGCTCCTAGAAAGTTGTATCGATACAGTTTAGGGTAGGTATCGAGTGTACGAACGAAATCTGCACAAAGAAAGAAAATTGGTTACTTGCCAGCAGATAAGGTCATTTGATAAAAACTAAAAATTGTTTGTGACTCTTTTGTTTCCTGGAGTTTTACGGTATTGATGAAGTTAAAATTTCTAGATTGGGCTTTTTGTGCCTTTCCCAAGAAATGTGTTCGCAAAGGATCGACATTCTAATTGGTAGGTTCAGTTTCATACTCGAGCATCCACGTTTCCTCTTCGATTGCAAAATGGCTTTTGCAGACAAATAAAAACTATGATTTACATGTAACAAATAATCTGCTTCTCTTTTCATTCCACTCTTCCGCCTATCGAGCTCGTTCCGAGTCTGCTAGGTTTCCTTGAAGAAGTTAACCATATACGAACAATTAAGTAAACCACCCAAAGAGGAAAAACGAAAGAGGAAAAAGGTCTTTTAGTTGAGAAAACTTACAAAAGCGA